TCTGTGTGTGGGTGTGTGTGTATCTCTGTGTGTGTGTGTGTATTTGTGTGTGTGTGCGTCTCTGTGTGTGTGTCTGTGTGTGTCTCTGTGTGTGTATCTCTGTGTGTTTGTTTGTTTGTGTGTGTGTGTGTGTGTATATGTGTATCTCTGTGTGTGTGTATGTGTGTATATCTCTGTGTGTGTGTGTGTGTGTGTGTGTGTATATCTGTGTGTGTGTGTGTCTGTGTGTGTGTGTGTGTGTGTGTTTGTGTGTGTGTGTGTGTGTGTATGTGTGTATCTCTGTGTGTGTGTTTGTGTTCAGGCGGTGTTCCTCAGGTGTTCCTCACAGCTCCTCCCGGTACGGTTCAGATTCCCGTCTCGGCGGTGCAGCTTCATTCAGTACGGCAAGATCAACACTTCACAAGTGAAACTCTCAATTTTCTCTCATTACCCAGCATGCATTACACTGACCGCACTAACGCACCGTGGGCCTGTGATGATCTCCAGATATGCTTAACACCAACTCACACTCCCTTTGGCTCATGTTGTGAAATCATAAAAAATATATGACCAATGGTTACACTCCATCCTCACATGAAAAACTGATTTATCAATTTATTAATTGACTGAACTGTTCGGTCTGTTCCAAACTATAGTCAGTGACTCCATGCTGCCATCTTCAGATTCTGATCATTTTAGTAATTTTTATGCTGCTCAATATCTGAATATGCATTTTTATGCTTATTAGAGTACTGTGATGTATGGAAGCTTGTTTCTGCCACAGAATAAAAAATTAAGAAAAAGGTAAATGCAACTTTTTATCTCACAATTCTGACTTTTCTAGCAATTCTGAGAAAAAAAGAATTGCAGCATATAAACACAGAATTGTGATATATAAACTTTTTTACATTTATTTACATTCAGGATTTTCTTTTTTCTTTTTCTTTTTTTACCACGGAATAAAAAAATAAAAACCATGACTTTTTATCTCACAATTCTGACTTTTTTTCTAGCCATTGCAAGTTTGTATCACAATATTAGAATTGTGAGATAAAATGACACATTGCATTTTTTATTTTTAATTCTGCTGCAGAAGCGGGCTTCTATAGTGACATTATCTTAACAACGTCAAACTTTATGTGCAGTGTAATTTGCTTTGGCTGAAAGCATCTGCCAAAAGCATGAATGTCAAATGTAGATATAAGGATGTGGAGTCAGTCTCTAGTGAGATGATGTGGTAGGTGTGTGCTGAGCAGCTGGAGCAGATGCAGATGTGCAGTGTTTGGCTGATGAGCGTCTCTCTTCTGCAGATGGTGATTGGTCAACAGTCCAGCGGCAGCAGCAGTAGCCTGACCGAGCTTCAGGTCGTTAATCTGGACGCCAAAAACGACTGACCGCGCCACCAGAGACTGACGCCGCTATTTATTAACACCTTTCTGAGATTGACCTTTATACAGTTCCTCATTTATACGTCTGATTCTACAGTTTCTGCTGTAGACGTGTGTGTGTGTGTGTGTGTGTGTGTGTGTGTGTGTGTGTGTGCATGTGCGTGTGTGTGTGAGAGAGAGTATAGGTACTGTCTACAGTCAGTGCTTCACATCAGACTTCTGTCTTCTGTGTTGCAAGTTGTGTGTGTGTGTGTGCATGTGCGTGTGTGTGTGAGAGAGAGTATAGGTACTGTCTACAGTCAGTGCTTCACATCAGACTTCTGTGTTTTTGTATGCAAGTTGTGTGTGTGTGTGTGCATGTGCGTGTGTGTGTGAGAGAGAGTATAGGTACTGTCTACAGTCAGTGCTTCACATCAGACTTCTGTGTTTTTGTATGCAAGTTGTGTGTGTGTGTGTGCATGTGCGTGTGTGTGTGAGAGAGAGTATAGGTACTGTGTGTGTGTGTGTGTGTGTTTGGCTGCAAAGTGATCTGAACAGATTTGGCCAGATTTGGGAAATAAGACGAGACATTTGGAAATGTACATAACCAGTTTTATAATATTTGAGATTTGTTTTGCCTGTTTGTGCGATGGCATGTAGTTGTTTTTATAGATATTTTGTATACATCGTAACTGTTTTGCTTATGAAATTTGATATTTGACTCACCATGTAAATTAATGTAATATAAACATATTATATTGATTTATGCACAGTGTTCAGATGAGAAATACAAAGATTTAGGATCAAACTCTTTTTCTCTCTTTTGTAACATGATTGTGCCAAATCGCCTTTAAAAATACTAATGAAAAGAGAGAGAAAGAGGTTTGAGATGCTGTTTATCCCCGTCCCTTCTTTCTGAATGCTGTCGATGATTCTAACCTTTAAACTCGTCTATGACACCCTGATGCCTATAAACACTGAGAAACGCCTCAAACTGAGACAAAACTAGAGGAGTTCACCCAAAATTAAAATGTGCTCATCCCAGATCAGGATGAGTTTGTTTCTTCATCAGGTTTGTAGAAATGTAGCAGATGTTAACTGATGGACTGGAGTGCTGTGGATTACTTGTGGATTATTGTGATGTTTTTATCAGCTGTTTGGACTCTCATTCTGACGGCACCCATTCACACCCAGACACTGATGCAATGCAGAACAACTCAAATCAACAAAACAAACTCATCTACATCTCGGATGAGCACATTTTTCAACACATGTTCATTTTTGGCTGAACTATTGCTAATAATGTTGTGCCCTGTTAATCAAACTGTAAGCAGAGAGCGTCATATTGATGTTATATAGAGTATGTTATTGTGAATGGACTCCACAGTCAGTCTGAACATCAAACTAATGTTTGTTGTTAAGGGCTTCGGTCGACAGCTAGAGTTGGAATATCAGTTTTTATCATGTCGGAAGCTCTTGAAATCGTCCTGCTGTAGGACAGTGAATGATGTATTTTATTTAGTCTTTTTCCATCTTTTTAAACTTGACACGTGGCCGCATTTTTAATACGTAATGCTGAATATTTAGAGTTGATCCTCACTGTATGTGCTCAGAAATCTGAGCCGGTTTGTTTGATATATTTTGAGTTAGATTTAGAGCGACTGTGCGAGAGAAACACTGGTTCTTCTGTTGGATTATTGTGGGATTTCTGGTTTCTGACGCCGCGAATGTACAGACCTTTTTGTAATAAAAAAATGGATCTTGTCATGTGTGGCCTTTGGCTGTTTCATGAGGCTTTACTGCGCTGCAGCTAAACGCACAAATCATTCAGACTGACACATTTATTGCTGTTTTTCTTACAAGAGTCAATAAACAACTGGGGCCGGTTGCATAAACTGTGTAGACTAGTCTTAAAAAGTTAGTCATCTAATTTTTTTCTTCTTCAAGACTGGTCATAACTTTTTTAATTCAGTTATGAAAAGTTAGTTTGGTCTTATTTGTATTGATTACCCCTTGCTGCGTTTATGAAACTGGCCCCTGGTTGTTTCAATAAGTTTTGTGTAGTATTTTCTTTACTCTTTACTTCAAAAGCTAAAAAGGGTAGCCTAATAATATTTTATGCATTTGAGAGGGCAAACATTTAGCATTTTAGGTCAGCATTGCCATCTAATCAGCCAAAAATCTTATTGTTTGATATATTGTCATAGCACTTCATCTTTTATAACATGGGATTTTGACCAAATATATTCAGATTTTTGTAAAATGTTGCAACAGCATGTGAATTATTATTATTTTTTAATTACAGTTTTGGACATATAAGGTAATACAAATATATATAAAAAAGACCTTAAAGTATCTACAACTGAGCATGTGAAGCAAATATCTTTAAAATAAATGTATGGTTACTGTAATGAAACCACGATTAATTTTCGCAGCGATAGTGGTACTTAATTAGTCGGCTTATTTAAATAAAACTCCAGGTAATTTTTATGTTGTATTTATTATTATTGATGTTCTTGTTGTTATTTATTTGTATTGCAGAACATATAAATATATGAACAGGCAGATCACATTTATATATAATTATAATGCAATAACACAAGATAAAAGTAGAACATGCATATACACAAATCGAAGAAAAGCGCGCTATTAAACTTAATAATGTTTTTAAATAAACTCACAAGCGTGCATGTTTATATATATATATATATATATATATATATATTTTTTTTTTTAAATGAGGGGCTTTTATTTTGTGTCGTGGTCCGTCATTTCCGGTGCTGAGCGAGCTCTGTCGTGACTGACTGACCGCTGAGAGGAGACTAGCGCACTTAACTGTAGTTTAGTTAGTTAGTTAGTTAGTTAGTTAGTTAGTTAGATTAGTTAGATTAGTCATCATGGCCAGAAGCGACGGCAGCTCGTATTTCAGGAGATCAGGTCTGTTCTGGATGGTGGTCGTGACGCTTTCTTTGAGTTTTTTAACGGTAAGCTGAAACTAATGCATTATTCAGTCACTCTGAAACAGCTGAGGAGAATTTCAGAAACGTTTAAACCAATAATGTTTGACATGACTGTCGGAAGATCTGTTTGACTTCTGAAAGAGATGAAATGAGGGATTCTCCGCGCTGAAATAAGCGAACTCACGACGATGAAGAGTAAATGAGCAGAACTGGGCTGTTTCGTGAGCTTTACCTCAGGGTTTTACTGAGTTACACAACTGCGCGAAGTCCGCTGACATGATCACAAACCGATATAAAGTTGTTTTGAGGTTTGTCAGAGATTCAGGAAATCTTCTATAGTTCTTTGACGATTTAGCACAGTGACAAGAAACATGATGTCTTATAATTGTTTTCAAATGTAGAAGAGAACACACAATGTGTTTTATTTGTTTTAATCTGCGCTGAGGTATTGTAACTGATACCGTATAATGTAAAAGTGCAGGATAGGGACCGTCTGCAAAGTGCAAGACGAAGATTATTCCATCTAAATGCTTCACTTGTGAAATGTATAAAAAATATATCTCAAATATAGGGGGTGTGTCTTATTACTGGTTCATTCAAGAACATTTAGATGTTGGTTTTATTCACAGAACTATAGCACAACGAATATTATTGAAAAAGCTTGCAAAGCATTACAAAGATTGTGCAGTTTACCGCCCCCTAGAGGAAGATATCGCACTTGTCTTGACCAAGTTTGACATTCATAAGTTTAAATAACTTAATTTAGAATGCACACAGTTTGATATCTAAACTTCAAAGGGTGTGTCTTGTTACTTGTTCAAAGAACAATATTTACAGCCATCTTTTACTATCATATGCAAATCAGGATGCATGCTATTGAATCAAATTCAAACCTATTAACATGTCATTTTTGTAAACATACAGCATTTGATCTCATCTTCAAAGGCTGTGTCTTGTTACTGGTTCATAGAATAACAGTTAGACATCAGTTACATTTGCAGAACTATAACACACCACATGCTATTGAAATGTAAACACATACGTCGTCGATTAATAAAAAATACAAATACTCTTTTATTTCAGCTTTATGGGGTGTGTCTTGTAATTGTTGTCTATAATGACATTTAGATGTTGGTCTTATTCACAAAAGTGTAACACAACAAAAGCTATTGAATTGTAAAACCCGAGAAAGAGCTCTGGAAGCTTCCCAGAGAGTGTGCAGTACAGCGCCCCCTAGAGGAACACACTGCAGCTGCTTGGACTGAGTTTGACATTCAAACCTTTAATAAATTAATTTAAAATCAATACAGTCTTCTATTTCAACTGCAAAGGGTGTCTTGTTTCTGATTCCTAAATGAACATTTCAATTCAGGTTTTACTCTAATATGTAATTCAGGACACATGCTATTGAATTGAATTAATTAATTTTTTTAATAGTTTAATAGTTGTTCATGAGTCTCTTATTTGTCCTGAGCAGTTAAACGGTCCATTATTCTTCAGAAAAACTCTCCGGGTCTCATAGACTCTGGGTAAATTGTACTAATTTGGTCTTCTGGGAAACATCTAGGTTTCTTCTGAAGCTTCTGACATAATTTAGCTATTATTTTGTCTTGTAGACTATATGTAAACATCTTTGATGCAAAATATCTTACTCAGGACAGTACTAAAAAAATCCCTCTTACAAAACATTAACATTTTTTATAAAACAAACAAATAAAAAAATGGACCCTTTGAAAATGAGCTCGAAAATTGAATTTTGAACTAATCGATGTATTAATCAGCTTAATAAACCGTTTAATTGGCTATTCATTTTCAATTGAATGTTTTCTCTCATATTTCTGTGACTAAAACCAACATTAAAATATTCTTCTAGAAACCAGTAACAAGACACACCTTTTGAAGTTGTGTAATAAAACTGTGTTATAAATTCATTTATTACAAATGAGATTTTCAAACTCAAGTCAAAACAACTGCAAAACAACACTCTTTGCCAGCTTTGTCTTAATTTTGAATTACAATACCATGTTTTCTATTATAGTTCTGTGACTAAAACAATATAAAAATGTTTTTATAAAAACAGTAACAAAGACATGAGGTTAATGCAGAAGAGTGTATTTATTTTAAATTAATTTGTTTATTGGTTTAAATTTCAATAGCCTGTACTTCTTTGGTGTCAGACTTCTGTGAAAACAGCTAACATTAAAATGTTCTCACGAGGACCTGGAATTAGCCTACTGCATAACGACTGGATTATGGAATGATAATGATTTTTAATAGTTTTTATTTTATTAATATATTTATTAATAGTAATAATATAATAATAACCACTATCACATATCTTGTTTACAATATTTCTTATTTAAATTCAAGTGAGCGTTATAAGTGTTTGTCTTTATATCTTTCAAAGAGCTTGGTGCATAATTTGCTCTTGTTTTGTTAATCGTAAAAAAACATTCCAGTGGGAAAACATTCATCGTTTTATCCTGTACATGTACTTTGCAGACGGTCCCTAGCTGGCCTAAGCGCTAGCTCGGCGCTGCTAGAGACTTTATGCGTTTCAACATATAGAAGACGATTAAAACAAATAAACTGCGATGTGTGTTCAGTTCTACGTTTTTATGCTTTTCAGATAAGCCATTTTGTATACAATTATACTCATCCACTAAGAATTTATTGAAGTTTTTTGCGGCTGAATATCTGTCTAATATCCAACGTCAATCGTCGAATCAACTTTTTATCGGTTTATCACAACCTTTACTTCACAGCACTGCATATTCTAATATATGTTATAATTTATATTGTGTCATATATATATAAATGTTAATGTGATAAATTGTTATTGTATCATATATAGGATATATATATACATATATATGACACTGGACCACAAAACCAGTCATAAAGGTCATTTTATTGAAAAGCTGAATAAATGAGCTTTCCATTGATGTATGGTTTGTTAGGATCGGACAATATTTGAAAATCTGGAATCTGAGG